GTTCTCCTCATGCTTCGCTCTCCCCCATTTGGCCGCAGAGGACCGGGCCGCCCAGTCGCTGCTGAACAAGCTCATCCGGAGCAATTTGGTGGACAACACGAACCAGGTGGAGGTGCTGCAGAGGGACCCCAACTCCCCCCTCTACTCGGTCAAGTCTTTCGAAGAGCTGCGCCTGTAAGTGCCGCCCGATTGTCCCTTGGGGAGCTGGTGGTCCCTAGTGGGGAGGGGCATCACTCAGAGTAGGGGGCATTGGTCCCCCAATGGGAGGGAGGGACCGGGCCGGAGCCGCCTCAGTGTTGTGTAGGCGTCTTCTTGGGCTTCCCACCTCCCAGGCCAGCACGGTGCCTCCCTCCCTCCCTCCCTCTGCCTGGGCTCTCGAGCAAGGGGAAATTCAGCACGGCCTCAGCCCGTGGTCAGTGCCGTTGTAACTTGGAACGATTGCTAAATGAAGGGTTGTAAGTCGAGGATTGCAACGTAAATTCACAGTAACAAGTAGGAAGAAATGGCAAGTTTTCCAAATTCCCCTTTGTCCTTAAAATCAACTCTTTGAGGCCCTGACCTCCTTCAGAAACCCTGCTGTATGTACACTGCTCCCCCCCGCTTCTTCCCTCCCAGGAAGCCCCAGCTGCTCCAGGGGGTCTACGCCTTGGGGTTCAACAGGCCCTCCAAGATCCAGGAGAATGCCCTGCCTATGATGCTGGCGGAGCCGTAAGTTCCTGGCCCTTGTGGGATGGCTGGGGCCGGGGAGGCCGGAAGATGTGACGGGGCCCCCAAGACAGCAAAGGGGGGGGGGTCCCCTAACAAACCTTTGTGGGAGGGGAGGGGTGTCCACCGAGGGGGGCCGCTCAGGGCCCTCCCCTCCTGCTCACGGGGTCAACCTGCCTGCAGCCCACAGAACCTGATTGCCCAGTCCCAGTCCGGCACCGGGAAGACGGCAGCCTTCGTCCTGGCCATGCTCAGCCGGGTGGAGCCGGACCACAGATATCCCCAGGTAGCCACTGTGGCCTGATGATGGGCAGGGGCTGGAGGGGTGCGTGGTCAGAGGGTGGCTGAGGGGGATTTTGGCAGCCAGGGGTGGGCAGCCCTCAGCCTTCTTCCCTGGGGACTCTCTCTCCAAGGCCGGTTCTGACCGGGCGGGGGATGTGCCAGTGGCCGAGCCTGGCACTGCTAAGGGGGGCAGGCTCTTTCTTCCATTCTCCTGGCTTCCTCTTCCCTCCTCCTCCAGTGCCTCTGCCTTTCCCCCACGTACGAGTTGGCCCTCCAGACCGGGAAGGTCATCGAGCAGATGGGCCGGTTCTACCCTGCGCTGAAGCTGGCCTACGCTGTCCGGGGCAACAAGCGTGAGTGCCCAGCCTGGTTCTCTCCCTTCCCTGCCATCTGGCAAGGCCAGAGCCCGGCCGGGTGACCGTTCCGCTTCCTGCCACCCGTGGGGGTCCCTCCGGGGCGAGAGTCGGGTGGGGCCCGCAGGTCGGGTGGGCCGGGCTTTCCCAGTGGGGAGCTTCCCAAGGGGTCACTTTGGCCCCCTCCCCACCAACAGTGGAGCGTGGCCAGAAGATCGCCGAACAGATCGTCATCGGCACGCCGGGCACCGTCCTGGACTGGTGTTCGAAGCTCAAATTCATCGACCCCAAGAAGATCCGGGTCTTTGTCCTGGACGAGGCCGACGTCATGATCGCCACCCAGGGGCACCAGGACCAGAGCATCCGCATCCAGAGGTGAGGGCGCGAGGGGCTGCCCGTTAAGCGGGCACGGTTTTCGTGAAAAGGAGAAGGGCTTTTTCACTTTGAACTCCCCGTCTGCCTCCAGGATGCTTCCCCGGGATTGCCAGATGCTGCTCTTCTCGGCCACCTTCGAGGACTCGGTGTGGAAGTTTGCCCAGAAGGTGGTTCCCGACCCCAACATCATCAAGCTGAAGAGGGAGGAGGAGACGCTGGACACCATCAAGCAGTACTACGTGCTCTGCAGCAGCCGGGAGGAGAAGTTCCACGCCCTCTGCAACATCTACGGGGCCATCACCATCGCCCAGGCCATGATCTTCTGCCACGTGAGTGCCGGGCTGGGCGGACCCCTCCCCTTCCCTCCAGCCCCGCCCCTTCCGCAGACCCCTCCCTCGCTGACCCTTCCCCTCCGCAGACCCGCAAGACGGCCGGGTGGCTGGCGGGGGAGCTGTCCAAAGAAGGCCACCAGGTGGCCCTCCTGAGCGGGGAGATGATGGTGGAGCAGCGGGCGGCCGTGATCGAGCGCTTCAGGGAGGGCAAGGAGAAGGTCCTGGTCACCACCAACGTCTGCGCTCGAGGTGAGTCCAGAAGGCCATCGAGCCCAACCCCCTGCTCCAGCAGACCAATGGCGCTCCAGTGTTGGCGCTCCCCTCGGGGGTTCCCCTCTTCCTTCCTGACGGTCGGAGGGACAGGCCCCGCCTCGTTCTGGACTTCGGTCCTGGATGGTTACAGGCAGTCCTTGCTTAAGGGAGGTTTGTTTAGCGACCGTCCGGAGTTCCCTGAAAAAAGCAGCTTAGGACTGGCGCTCGCAGTCAATGCCCCTCCAGCGTCCTCGCGATTGGGATGGGGGTGCTTGGCCACTGTCCTGTAGTTACGACGCTTGCAGCGTCCCACGGTCATCTGGCTGCAATTTGCAGCCGGCGTCCGACAACGTCAATAGGGAACCTTGCAACATTGTGGTTATCGCAAGGTCTTTGTGTGGGGAGCCCCCCCCCCCCAGCACTGTTGAGCATCTGTTTGTCTCTATTGGATAAAAGAGTTTTTTAGTTCCCCCGTTTGACACTAAGCTTCCTCTCTAGGCATAGACGTGGAGCAAGTCTCCGTGGTCATCAACTTCGACCTCCCGGTGGACAAAGACGGGAACCCGGACAACGAGACCTACCTGCACCGCATCGGCCGCACGGGGCGCTTCGGCAAGCGAGGCCTGGCCGTCAACATGGTGGACAGCAAGCACAGCATGAACATCCTCAGCCGCATCCAGGAGCATTTCAGTGAGTCCCTCCCCACAGCCGCCTCGGGCGGGCGGGGGGCTTTCGGGCCCAGCTTTGCCCTCCTGCCTTGGCGTCTCTTTGGTGTAGGGCTGTGCTTGGCCTTCCGGTGGGGCCCAGGAAACCCTCCCTTAGACCCCCAAGCCCAGCTGGGGGACGTGGGCCGGTCCCCCTCTCCCCCGCTCCAGCCAAGGAGGAGGCCGGGGATGAGGATTAATCCCAAGGGACCCCTTCCCAAAACACAACCCCCTCCCCCACCAAGTATTATGGCTCCGGGTCAGAGGTCTCAAAACTTGGCCCCTTTAAGACTTCAACTCCTGCAATTCCCCCAGCCAGCAGGAATCCTGGGAGTTGAAGTCCACGAGCCTTAAGTTTGGAGCTCCCACCACCACCACCACCATCCCTGACACAATTCGGGGGCTTTCTAAGGGCCATCAGCAACTCCGGGCTCTCCGTCTGGACGTTTGTGAGTTTTCCTAGCATAAATGCCTTTTTTGGGCCACGCATCCCTGGAGAACCAAACCGGCTCCCGGTTTCCCCAGATTCCGGGATCTTTTCTGACAAGGCTGCTTCCTTTCGCTTCCTTCCGTGCAGACAAGAAGATCCATAAATTGGATACGGATGATTTGGATGAGATTGAGAAAATTGCTAACTGAAGGGGTGGCCGAGGGGCTTTGGGGCGCCCGCCTTCCGCCCCGTGGCTGCCCACCCGAAATGGACAGGCCATCCTGACAGGCAAATCTCCTCACCAGCCAAACGAGAATTGGGGCGTTCCCTCCCCCCCACCGGAAATCACAGGAGTTACCTCATCCTCTCAAACCAACCATGAATGCGGCTGGACTTTTAAATTTCCAAATTAGCGCAAACTGGAGAACAGAAGACACGTTTCGCGAAGAAATGTTTACAGTAACTTTTTACTTTTTTTTCCCTTTTAGTTTAGCCTTAATGAGTGGGGGAACCTCTTCAATTATGGAAGTGATGCCAAAAAAAAAAACATAGCCAATAATTAGAAGGGATTTTAATGCCTGCTTTATGGAGAGAGACGGCACTAAGATTGAACAGACAAATATCTATAGCTTGTGACATTTTTTTCTTTCACACCTCAGAGAGGAAATATCCCAGGGCTGGTTTCATGCTGGGTTATGTGTGAAGTGGGCAAAGATTTGCCATTTTTACTGGAGGAAAATCGCCCTGCTTTTTCCCCTCCTAGTTGATGGCCTTTTCGTTTTTTATCCCTTTTCCCCTCCCCAAGAAACACTGGGGAGCTGCAATCCCAGGTGGGGAATCTGGAGACGTTGGCTGGCTGTTCAGGGGAAGGGAAGCCAAAGCCTTGGCAGGTGCCCAGGGCCTCACCTGTGGCAGGTAAAAGAGGCAGGCGGAATTAAAAGGCCTTTGAACAGAGGGACAGCTCAGCAGGGGACGTCTTTGTGGGAGCTTCAGTGCTGAGCTGAATCTAAAGCCAGAGGAAGGGAAGGGCAGGCGGGCAGGCAGGAGGAGGGGCTTTCAGCCTCACCTCCGGGCAGGTGTGTGTGTGTGTGTGTGTGTATGTGTGGAAGAGCCCCCCCCCCCCTTTCAATGGAGCCATGCTGAGAATTGCAGCTTTCTTCCCCGAGTCCCCTCCCCGTCCTCCTCCTCCGTTGATGGGGCATCAGGCCAGTGATTTGCAGTGTGTGTGTGTGTGTGTGGTTGATTGCTACCAATTTGATTTGGCCCCAAATTGGGGTGGTTTTTTTTGAGGGGGGGGGAAGAGATCATGCCTACAATTGTAGTGACTCCAAATGACGTTCGGCGGTGGCAGGAAGGGGTGTCTGTGGCCGAGGAGGCTCAGCGGATGCGGCTTTTGCCTGCAGGGAGGTTTGGATCCGGTTGCTTTTTCTCTCTCTCTCTCTCTCTCGGCAAAAAGTTTTTTTATTCGCGCTTGAGGGGGGGTGTTGGGGGGGGCAGAAGAGCTGCTGCTTGATAGGGGGACCCTTTTCTAAGCCGACTGGGGTTTCATCCCT